GCATGCAAGTCCATCCGTTTAGATCCTTTGAAATAAAACGATCAACTTGAAACTTGAAATGACTCCTGGGTTCAAATCTTTCACAGTTTTGAAGAAAAACCTTGCTCGGTGCAAGTAACAAAACAGTAAAATAACTTACTGTAAACAATGTCTCGCTCATCAATTTCATTCTTGAGTTTATGCGGCTGATAAAGCGCCTCGCAAAAAGACTTGTGGTCTTCCACGTTTATATGAACGTCCGGACCGACCGGGTGAATAATACCAGATTTCCACCTTCTATGGAACTCCTCAAACAGATCCTCTTGGGGTATATTCGGTAACATCCCCGTGCTATTGCCAAAGATCCAAGTACTTCCAAGTTCGTGCAACATGCCTGTTAATTCTTCGTCTTCATCATCATTAAAGTCAAAATTATATGGTCGACGTAGTTTCTAATGTCAAATTTTAATGTAGTCTGCATCTTATAGACAGTGAAGCTTCTCCAACAGAAATGTTGCTGATGTTTTAGCAAAGTTTTAGTTTGTGCTCCTTAACATGCCTGTCACAGATGCAACATTGGTGACAATTCGTGGGATGTCTGTGTACGCAACATATGCTTATTTGCCAGCTTATATTCACAATGTCCTTGTCTACCTTGGTTACACTAAAGGATAGTCACCTGGATATCACCATGGTAACAGATGTTTGCTTACAAGTCATTGTTCACAATTCATTGTCTCTATACAAGACGAGAATCAACTGCATTGCTGAGCACAACTAAAGCAGAATGGTGGACATGTTAACAGTTTAATCACGAAATACTTATTCCTTATCTGCTTTTAACACTGTACTATTTAAGCTATATAATCCAATTATTGCATAAAAAACCCTTAGATATATATATTTAGCAAAAACTACAGAACATACAACCAATGATGTACTTTGTCATAGTTTATACAGAATACTTCCTTTTTTATATGCAGATACATGTAAACTCAAGCTAGAATCAGTTTTTCAATATTTTTCACGTCACTGACAGAAAATTGTTTGACAAGGTGATGAGTTGTGCTATAATTAGGTTTATATTTTGAAACTAAAATCATAAATCACAAACATATGCTTCTACATGCGCATCTACATAATCCTATAAGGACGTCTAGCAAATTCCAGTGCAAAGTGCAAGAATAAAAATGAATAAATAAATATGTGCAAATAAGGTAATAAATAATTGTGGTATAGTAATGATGACATAAATAACAATCAGTTAATAATTAAGTCGATAAAACTAAAACTAAAACTTAAGCTTCAGGGTAGTAAAGAGTTATTCCCAAGATCAGTAAGGCAAAAGGCTACAAGTTCGCCCCCTATTTTCCGTCTTCACTGCCAAGGTTATATCTCCAAATCCTCTTCACCCTAGTTAAATAAGACATTTAGACATTCATCTAAAACATTCTAAGGCATTGGCTTGGGATATTGAGGCAAATCTCTTTAAGACGGCATCAAAGTTCAGAAAATTTCATGGTAGGCTGGCGGTAGTTTTATTTATATCACAAGGAGCAAAATAAGCAAACTTTACAGCATAACCAAAACACTAGGAAAGCGAGGGAGGGAGGCTCACATCTTCCCTTCAGGTCTGCCGCTGATCAATTAATTTCTTTGGAAGTTGTTAGCATGGTAACGGGTAGCAATGTTGAAGCCTTCCAAGGGGTTGAAGCGAAAGGCAACATGGAGCCGAAAACTGGGGACAGTCCTCTCAGAAAACACCAACAATCGACAGAAAAGAAGGAATAAATTGTGACAGCGACAATCCATTTTTAAGAAGTGATAGTGGCATCTGTTCAAATTGCATTTCGGCTGTTTCGGTAGCGAAATACCAAATTCTCTTCGGTTATTTCCAAACTTTTTTGTTATTTTCTTTGTAACGATATCTAATTATGGTATTGCTCAAGAACGGTAATTTCAGGGAGCAAGATTAACAACAATTAATTCTTTCCAGGCTCTATATTTGCCTTAAATTCCTATACTGAGTATCAAAAATTTATGCTGAAGCAACGGCGACATTTTGTTACTAACTAAAATGCGACAGGCAGTCTCAGAAATGACCGACAAAAGCGATAGCATACCCCCGCTCCCTCTCCCCCCTTAATGTAACCGTTAACAGCTACCATTATCTTGGTTACTACTCCAAAGAGGATCTGTTAGTTCCTCGATAGATGGTGGGTCACTTATGTTATCCCTTCGAAAGTGTCGGGCAATTTTCTTGACAATATAAATAATCAAACGGAATGTTTGCGACAAAATGGCGAAAGCAGCTAGCAAGGACAACAATGCAGGAACAAGTCCCATTGCAGCAAATTCGAACCACTGAAGTCCCTCCAGGATATCCTTGTTTGTTCCCTTGGCACTTATCCCGGAAGACAGGAGAGTTGCCTTTACCAGGCTGATTTTGGCGATGATTGCCAAGGTGACTAAGGACATCGTTTCGACTCTGTTAGCGGTTTTACTCCGGAATGGATCCTTGATTATGTGGTGGATGGCCATGAAGTCGCACGCGCTAGCCATGACGAAAAGTCGGATCATAGCGTTAGGGATGAACGAGTGAAATGTAAGAAGGATGAGCCGTCGACCAATCATAACGCTCTCCCAGTAAAGAGTGCCTTTATCTGGATCATTAGGATCGCGAAATGGCTCGTGCAGGACCTTCATTACCTCAGCGCTATTGTTTGGCCTTGCTGTAGCTTCTTCCCTCTTGAACACGTGCTTGAAACGCCAATAGATTAGAAATGGCAAAGGAATAACACAGGCTGCGAGAAATTCACCTGAAGAAATGGAAGAACCTGAAGAACTGTGCAGCTTTGAAGAACCGAAGTACAGGACTGCGATAAAGGGTACCACAAACACGATTATGTACCCAAGAAGGATGTATTGCCACGGCTGCAAACAGATCGTGGTACCATCAATGAACAGTCGATACTCATCCCCAGTACTCACACAGTGCATCAGTGCCAACGAAGTTTCAGCCAGTCTATCGTATCCTAGCAACAATATCTCCAAGAAGACGGCCATATAACGGCTCAACGATGGCTTTCTCAACTTCTTATGGAATCTGCTGATAAGCAAGTGGGCGCAGTAAATGAGGGCGAGGTTCGCCATTGTTGCGAACACCACCAAAGAAAGAAGCAGTTCTTTGGTAACTGGGGTTAGTCCCGGAAATGGACAATCGATTCTTAGGTAAGAAGCGCGGAGTTGAAAATTGAACGCTGAAATCATAGCAACAACGAGGGGCATTTTTAAAACCAAGTCGTCAAGAGAATTGCTTAACAGCAAATCGGCGACTTGGTAGTAATAGAAGGCGATTTTTGTATAACCACTGTCTTTCTCTTCGCCGTTTTCACTGCTCTCTTCGCCGTTTTCACTGCTCTCTTCGCCGTTTTCACTGCTCTCTTCGCCGTTTTCACTGCTCTCTTCGCCGTTTTCATTGCTCTCTTCGCCGTTTTCACTGCTCTCTTCGCCGTTTTCATTGCTCTCTTCGCCGTTTTCACTGCTCTCTTCGCCGTTTTCATTGCTCTCTTCGCCGTTTTCACTGCTCTCTTCGCCGTTTTCATTGCTCTCTTCGCCGTTTTCACTGCTCTCTTCGCCGTTTTCATTGCTCTCTTCGCCGTTTTCACTGCTCTCTTCGCCGTTTTCATTGCTCTCTTCGCCGTTTTCACTGCTCTCTTCGCCGTTTTCATTGCTCTCTTCGCCGTTTTCACTGCTCTCTTCGCCGTTTTCATTGCTCTCTTCGCCGTTTTCACTGCTCTCTTCGCCGTTTTCACTGCTCTCTTCGCCGTTTTCACTGCTCTCTTCGCCGTTTTCATTGCTCTCTTCGCCGTTTTCACTGCTCTCTTCGCCGTTTTCATTGCTCTCTTCGCCGTTTTCACTGCTCTCTTCGCCGTTTTCACTGCTCTCTTCGCCGTTTTCATTGCTCTCTTCGCCGTTTTCACTGCTCTCTTCGCCGTTTTCACTGCTCTCTTCGCCGTTTTCATTGCTCTCTTCGCAGTTTTCACTGCTCTCTTCGCTTTGTCTTCTCTCCTTCTTTTTCATGAACCAAAAAACCTGTTGTGGACTTAGAAGTCGAAGCAAAGGAGGATCAATTAACAGATATAGTGCCGAGGCAGCCGAGAAGAGAAACATCGCTATCCAGAAGAGGTAATCTTTACATTGAGCTGTTTTTCTGCACTCAGAATTAAATAGTGTTTCAGTGTAACCAGGCGCGCACTGGCCACACAGAAAACCAGTCCTGTTTCCATGACAACTGTTGTACACTAACGATCGCGGGCTCGGTGAGCGGCAATAACCTTTGGGGCAGGGAACAAAGTTGAGTACTTGCTTATCGCTTCCCGACACATTGTATCCCCAGAAGTTTTCTACTGCCGCAATGCTTGATTCGTTTCTTATGCATGAAGCTCCCAAAGGACACTGTTGACATTGGAATGAATCATCTACAGCAAGACCTTTTGAGAAGCTAGTTTGTAAGCTGTAATATCCGGGAGAGCACAGCTTACAGGAAAACCAAAGGACCGTCACGTTCTCTATGCAAAGGCGTTGTCTTTTTTCGGTGTACGCAAAATGTGTTGCATTTGCGAGAGACATCTGACTTCCTTCGCAGCGAATGCTTGTTTCGCGGTCGATATCAACGTATCCTCCGTTATAGACTGCTAACACAGAAAACGAACGCCTTGTAGAGGTGTTTGAAAACATAGACGAGTTCCGAAACTTGATGGGTCCTCCGCTTTCAGAATAAAAGAAGGCGACATTTTTGAATTTCCTGCCAGAGATAGTTGCATAGTACGTGCTACTAACAAAAGAGCAGTTGACGAATTCTACTCGACCAGTTCCATAGGCCGAATAAACTTGACCTGTGTGCATTGCTGCCAAATTGTTTTCAAAGGAGCAATTCCGAAAGGTAGTGTTTCCGTTACTAAGATACACTGCACCCCCATTAAGCCCAGCGTTCTCTTGAAATAACGTATCTTCAACAGTCACGTGAGCGTCGTATCTCCATAAAGGGTGAGTGTTGTTGGTTATGTTTCGTTGGACACACCCTGTTTTGTAGCGTTTGTCCGGGTTGGAGAGAATCGAGATAGCACCTGTTGCCGTCTCATAAGCAAACTTGCTATCGCCTTGGTTCCCCAGCTCTTGGCTAACAGACGTGCAGTGGCGAAAAATCGACCGGCGTATGGTTACATACTTCTTGCCTTGGAAGTAAAGGGCGAAAAAGCTGGCAGGGCGAGCATCAAAAATCACTTTGTCTATTTCTACTGTGGCTCTCGATGTTTTGGTTTTGTTCCCCACTGGGGGCATATAGAATCCAATCGCGTGACCGTTTGACTGGCCGATGAAATTCGTGTTGTTCACTGTGAACGATACAGACCGAGCCTCTCTTACAGTTATAGACATATCGTAGACATTGCGTTTAAAAGTCCAGTTTTCAATTAGGATTTTGACAGGCTTCAAAGGAAAGTCACCGGGAAACAACCATTCATTGGATGTCTGTAATCCGTGTCTGCAATAGGCGATGGTCACGTTCTTGAGCAAAATTTCATATTTTGGGTTGATTATCAACGCTATATTTTGATTATTGTACATAGAAGTGTTGGCTAGCAAGACCTTTCCTCTGTGTTTTTTCAGCGCTTCGATTCTCACGAACACACTTCCATTGTAATGACTGTCGGTGAAATTAGACTTCAAAATTGAAACATTTGTCTTAACAGTACCAGTACTTGCTACGAATATACCTCCAGAGACCTTTAAAACAGTGTTTTCCCAGTGAAAACGTTTAAATTCCACGAACCCACTTTTCAACATAACACCAATACTGCTGTGTGAACAGGCACAGTTTTTGACGCGGACGTTTCTGAAATGCGCGTTCAGAACATAGTTTATCGGTTTAGCTATAAGACTGTGAGTTTTCCCAACCAGAATCGCAGATCCCTGGGTTTCGGATTCGCATTCAGAAAAATTTACATTGGTGAGTTCAAGCCTTAGCAGATTTCCTTTTACACTGTTGAAAAAAATCGCACCGCCACCAGAATACGCCTTGTTTCGCTCAAAAGTAGTGTTTTTAACAACCAAGGAAGCACTGCCTTTGCATTCAATACTCAAGGCTCCGCCCTTTCCTGTCGTCACAGTTTGCCCGACAAATGAAGAGTTCTCTATAGTCACGTCAGCTTCGCTGGAAGAAATCTTAATGCACCTTAATGCCAAGTCATTACTGTTGTTACCGCAGAGAAAGTGACGAAATATTGTATCAGTTTTTCTTACTTGGGATATGTACATGCTATCCATATAGTGCCTGGCACTGTTTGTTGTGTTAGATGACCTCAAGTTATTGTTTAATAGTTTTACATGGCTGTATACTTCCTTTGAGTAAGCTGTCGGCAAAACTAGCAGCATGAAAGGAGCTTTGTTTTCGACGCTTGTGACGTTGTTTAGTGAAAGATCAGCTCGCACGGATGAATTGGATTTAATGTTGGTTCGTATGGAAATCACAGCTCCAGTTGACTGATTTGATTGAAGGCCATTCTCTTGAAATATGGTGTTGTTCACGCCAAGCGTGAGGGAAAATCCCCTTTTGTTACTTATCCAGACTTCAATGCACCGTTGGTTGTTCAGAAACAGGGATGGTCCCTGTATGTGTAAGAAGACAGTTGGAATATTTTGCGTCAGAACGCTGACGGCTGCTCTTTTCCAGGCGTTCTTGTAAGAGCAGTTTATAAGCTGAACGCTGCTACAATCATCAAATACAAGCGGTGCATGCTCGAATGCAATCCCAGACAAGGTAATTTTCATTCGTACTTTACCTTTATGAAAGCGAAATCCTTTTTCACACTTAACATGCGGGGTAGAATCGAGGCGTTCTATGGACATGCTTTTATCAATAGAAATTCCCCAATATTGATCATTCGTCAGTCTACTCTTGCAGTCAAAGGGCTGGTCCTTCGTTCCAGAGCCATCAAGATGAATGCGTCCGTTTTTTCCAACCACTTGAACAGCTTTTGCTATCGACCGGCATGGTTCACTCTGAGGGCCACAGTTGTCGATATCTTGACCATGAATGGAAACATAGACGTCTGTACTGCTGCCTTCCTCTATACCTTGGTTTTATAAATATAAAAGAATTAATATAATTGAGAAAAGGATTTTACAGGGCACCCAACGACGATTTCCTCAGAAATACACTTTTTAGGCTATCCAGAGTACATGTAGATCTTTAGAAGTGCATTCTAAGCGGCGCTATAAAATTTGTATCTGTTCGGTCATCGTAAGGCAACTTGAGTCTTTTCGAAATTACAAGCGCTCAGTTGAGTATCTTCTTTCCGCGAAAATTTTAGATACAATCATAGTAACGTATTACGATGGTGTGAATTTCTCTTATTCCTCCCTCCATCACAATTTTGGATCCGAAAATTTTAGGTTGCCTTTTTTCTACGAAAAATAGCTTAGTCTGGGGAGTTAAATGAAAAATTACACTTCAGAAAATGGTAGGGAATTTATTAGCCAGGGGCACCCAAAGACGGTTTCCTCCTAAATGCATTGAAAACACTTTTTAGGCTATCCAAAGTACTTTTAGATCTTTAGAAATACATTCTTATCGGCGCCATAAAATTTATATCTTTTCGGTCATCCTATGGCCTTGAGTCTTTTCGAAATTACCAGGGCTTCAGTATTATTGTCCCGAAAATCTCAGATGCAATTTTTAAAAGTGTTACAAAAGCGAGAATTTTTCTGCTTCCTCTTTCCATCGTAGTTTCGAATCCGAAAATTTTAGGTTTCCTTTTTCTGTGAAAAACAGCTTAATTCGAGGGAGTGAAATGCAAAAATCAAACTTCGAAAAAAAATCAAGCTTCGAAAATTGTAGATGAATGGAACGGTCATCTAGAAATTCTTGGCCTTCCTCAAGGTATAGAAAATTCTGCGCAATTTTTGCTTCTGTGAACAGATATTTTACAGAAAACAGCCGTTAGGTGCTCCTGATTAGATAAGCTTCCAAAAATTGTACATGAAGGGAACGGCCATCTAGGAATTTTTACAGGGGCGGATCTAGGGGGAGGGTGTAGGGGGTGCGCACCCCCCTCCCCCGGGATGACCTGCGGTTTTCTAGTACAACTGGTATTCTGCAAAAAAAAAAACTATGCGGTTTATTGGTGTTTAAGTAGAGCAAGAGACGAGTGCACCCCCTCCTAAAAAAAATCCTGGATCCGCCCCTGTTTTAGCTGTCCTCAAGGACCTCAATATTAAGTAATAGACAATTCTAGGCAACATTTGTATCTCCAAACAGATATTTTACGGAAAACCGTCGTTGGATGCCCCTGATTCTAGCAGCTATAACTACACAGCTCTAGTGGTACATTCTTTACCTCACCGCCTAGAAAATGCCAGAAAATATAAAGGAAGACATTCTGGTTACTAATATTTTAGTTAGTCAATGTTAAATGAATAATGAATAACATGCTTAGTTTTACAAAAGGTATTTTTAACAATCAGTGAAATTTAAGCGAAGAAAAAATCGGAACGAACTTTTGAAACGCCCTGTACATTTCAAAATAAATAATGTTCCCTGAGAACTAAGTACTTTATAAAATGGAAAAATAGTGAATTTTCGTGTTAGACCCGCAGTACATTCTTCAATATGTTTACTGACCCCCAACATTCGTGTATGCGGATCTCTGATTTGTTGTTTGTGAACCGTCACTCTATTTCTTGGGTCATCACCCGTTTCTCCTATATAATTTTAGTCCACATAGATCACATTTGTAGAGGTGAAACTCCGTGAGGTTTTCTCCTGGAATGTCTCACTTGTGACGGAGAAGGTAAATTAGGGGCAAGTTCTGCATCGCTTTATTCCACAAGTTTTAACTTCCGGTTTAGTGTGAGTTGTCTATCTTGGAGAAGTATCGAGAAGTAGGAGTTTGGGAGTATCTGTTTCAGGTTTCGAGGCTGACGTTGACAATGTATCACTCTAGTGTTGCTGATAATTGATTTTAGTTGTGAGTTTTGGTTCAACATGGGAAGTGTATTCCTGAGCAGCTGAAAACAATACCATTGTCTAGACTTCCATTGTGCATAGTTGTCTGTACAAGTGTTTACAAACGTTTATACTTCCATTTTCTATGTATATGATACTTGACAATTATTGAATGTGGCTGAGTATCATCAGAATGATTTTGAAGATCGATGAGGGTGTTATGGGATAAAATCCTCCGAGATCTCCATAATTCTTCTGGTAATACGAAAGCCGAATTCAATGATTGTTTTATTACTCATTCAAAACAATTCCTAGTTTTATAGTTTCGCTCGAACAACATGTCTTTACCCGTGAATACATCGCCTTTATAGGTATGTCCCTAAAGCCTCGCAGTCATGTTAGAAGTTTGTTACATCGAACGTTATATCGAACGTGGGCTATGATATCATGTCATTTCAATAGGGTTTTTTTTTTTTGAACCTAGACTTGTCACAAGTCGACTGCGTGAGGACGGCAGAAACTGGCCTTTGAGAAATTAAAGTCTACTTAGTCGAACCTAGCGCCCGGTCGTGGCTCATACAGAAAAGAATCCAGTCGACTTGTCCTATAGCTCAACTCATGGCCTTTATATTTTCGACATTTTCACCAGCGCTCTTGTAATTTTCTAGTAAGGCTGCAGGAGAAATTTGTCGAGAGAAACGAGAGTCGACCATGATTACAAGTTTGAATATTAATGAAGAATGCAAGGGAAAAAAACCTTTTTCATTTTCGGTTTCGTTTCTTCCCTCGGAAATTTATAGACTGGATATTAAAAATACCCCGGCGTCTAATTTTTTTCTTCACCAACACTGAATCGAATTACACAGGAAAAAATAACAGATTCCCATTTTTGGATATTTTAGGGTATTTAAAGAATACCCACAAAAATCCCAAATTTGGAAGAGTGAGACAAGTCCCAATCAGGGAACTTGGTTGGGAATTCCCTGGTTGGGACTTGTCTCACTTTGCCAAATTTGGGATTTTTATGGGTATTGTTTAAATACCCTAAAATATCCAAAAATGGGAATCCGTTATTTTTTCCTGTGTTACTGAAACAGTTATATGTTTTGGGCGAAAATACCGTTTAAATTTGCTCGCTTTAAGTGAGGAATATCAAGGAAAAACGAGTTTTTAAAAGTAATAATAGTAAACACTAAAAAGATTGTCGTAGAAAGATATTAAGCGCGCGTTGAGTTCATGCGCTTGTCGATTACAGAGAATCTATTAAAAAAATTGAAAGAAATAGCAAAACGGAAAGAAACAGGCTTTTACCTGTACTGCCGCTTATGGAGAAAACAAGGAGACAAAAAGTCCAGGCAAATTTACAAAGCATCATGATCATTTGGGCAAAGATCCAAGAGAATGAAGTTTTCCTTTCGCTTTTTATAACAGGGGACCGGAAGTGAAATGTTCAATTCTTGGAACTAATTAGCATAATGACAAAGCGTCGACCCACTAAAAGTCGAGACGGTGAAAACTAGAAGTTTAGCCACCTCGTTAAATATTAAGCGGTGAGCTGGTTTTCTTGTTTGCAATGCAGAAATTGCTTTTCGTTTCGATCCATTTTACTTCAAGAGACACATTTAAGTGTTTTTAGTGTGGTGTTCTCTCAAGAATGACTCTTGTTTTTTTGCTGTCAAGCGTTTTGGGTTCAGTGTTTTGGCGGCAACTGGGAATGAAAGCGCAGAGTCCTTCGACACAAGGGCGTCGATAAAACCCGGAACACGGAACATTCCGGAACATTTCGGATGTTCCGTGTTCCCGGTTTTATCGACGATAAAACCCGGAACACGGAGCATTCCAGATAATAGTAAAAACTAAAAAGAATTTCAGTCGTAGAAAGATATCATAAGAGCGCGTTGAGTTCATGTGCTCGTCGTTAATTTAATCGACAGAGAATCTATTAGAAGAATCGAAAGAAATAGCAAAACGGAAAGAAAGAGGTCTCTACCTGTACTGCCAGTTATGGAGAAAACAAGGAGACAAAAAGTCCAGGCAAATTCACAAAGCATCATGATCATTTGGGAAAAGATCCAAGAGAGTGATGTTTCCTTTCGCCTCACTGTTACAGCAACCTTTCGGACTTTGCCAAGGCTGGATTTTAAGGGTCGCAGCTGGAAACTTAAACTTCCTCCAAATCACGTGACTAAGGAAATGAAAGGCCGTTTCTCGGTAACCGCTGGTGGCGTTCTAGTATTAACGTAAAACAATTCTTTCAGTTAAATTTCAAAGAACTGGGCTCTTTTGCGAGAATTCGTGCTCGCTGACTGCGTCCTCTGCTCTAGATACGTATGGTATCGACATGGGAAGACAATCTGACCACGATGGTTCGAGATGGTCATGGGATTTATTTATTCAGTTCAAAGATGTGTGATACCGTTCTTAAGCAGCCAATCAAATTCGTAAGAGAAAAAAACACTATCATAATAATTAAAAAGAGGGCGGTACAATACCGTAAAATTCCGAAAATAAGCCCCTCCAAATATAAGGCCCCCAAACTCGTAACACAAAAAGCTCTCAGTTAAATCGTCCCTCCAAATATAAGCCTCCGGGGGCTTGTGCTTGTAAATTCCCCTCAAATTCAAAATAAAACAGAGCAAAAACTGTACAGTAACAGATAATTTTAGCATTTCCAAAAGAACTATTACGTGTGCCAAATGATTGTAGTCAAAGAGTGTCACAGTATATTGCTCTTGGCTTGGATTTCCTCGTTCCATGTAGACAAAGTACTTGCGTGGCTGAGTATTAGTAAAATTTACGTCCTAAAGGCGAGTTTCAGTAAAAACTTTCCGCAAATTACTGGCATAAATTTCCTTCAAACTATAAGCTAGCTCAATCGATTTTGAGAAGTAAATTTCCCCCGCAGTATAAGCCTAGCTAGCCTCTGTACAGACGTCCCCCCTCCCTCAGGAAAAATCGGAAGAGGAGACGTCTGAGAATCGCCGACGATAATCGTGTTCCCGTTTCCCCGGAATGTTGGGGACAGCCTCTGATTGGTTGTAATGTTAATGCCATGACGCAAATAATTTCTGGTGTACTGATTGGTGAATGAACCTCAGTATAGATTCCCCGGGGAAAAGCTCAGCCCTTGAGG